TTAGTTTGGAATAGTTTGGAATGGCTTCTTTGGAATACCTGAAAATTGTGCTGTACTGTTTGTTTGCTTGCTCGTTTGTTTGTTTGTTTTTCAAGGGCTGCAACTCCACTTTCACAAAGACCAATTTTAAAAATGCTGTTGATCCAGGTGTATGGTAACCCTGTAATGATTGTACTGAGTAAACCATTAAGTTCATTATCACTGAAGGTGATTAGGTTCATTATCTACTGAAGGTAGAGAAAAAAGTGGTTTGGTTTTGTTGTTGGTAGTGGTTTTTTGTTTTGCTTTTTTAATTGTTTTTTCTTTTTTTTTGTGGGGTTTTGTTTTGGGGTTTTTTTTTGTTTGTTTGTTTGGTTGGTTGGTTGTTTTTTTCAGGTTTTTTTGTGGGTAGGGGTTTCATATTGGAATATTTATGCATTTTCTGCCTATCTCTCAAGTTCAAATCTGTCCAGGGGTTACCAACATGATTCATAATACTTTGGGTGGATCTGGATTAAGATCTCTATTACAGATCCAAAGGAAATAGACACAGCCCAGTTCCTGGATGCTTGCACACAAACACTGTCCCTGTCCACACGTTAGGAGTCCCCTAGACAGTACAAAAGCCCAGCCTGAATAGTCCTGCATAGCCCCAGAGGAAAAAGGCGCAGCAGTGCTGCAAGAATTGAAACTGGAAAAAGAGGGATGCTTGAGAGAACCACACAGAAACCCACACTAGACAGCATCTAGTCTAGACCTTTCTCAGCAGATCCTTGTCTAGTTTACACTTAAAAGCTTTAAGCACTGGAAGTCCTCAGACTACTCTGATCTCTTCCAGTGCCAAACTGCCTTCCAACTGTTTGTGAGGAGAGGAGACTCTAGATGTTGTCTTTCAACTGTTTTTTCAATGGGTGATGTTCAGAAGATGGAGTCAGACCGTTCTTGGAGGTGCTCAGTGGGAGCAATGGACATGAGTTGCAGTTGAAATCCATACCAGCTCTTAGAAAAAGAGCTGTCCACAGCAAATGTGGTCACCTCCAGAGCCAGGATATAGAAGCTGTGGCCTCTCCATTCTGATAGATACTCAAATTCTCAAATCGCAACTGAAAAAGGCCCTGAGTCACCCAACCTGACTTCCAACTTAGCCCTGCTTTAAGCAGGAGAGGGACCAGAGACTTTCAGCAATGCCTTTCAGTTTAAATTATCCTGTACTCTATTTTTATAATTATTTTCTTATGATTAGAAGTTTTTTGGGTTGCTTTTTTTTTTTTTTTTATGTGACTAAATTGCTGAAAAATAAGGCAATTTCTGGAAGACTATTACCTCGTTTTTCTTCAATGTGCTCTTCTCTATGGTAAACAATTACTGGCTCAGTACAAATCCTGTTCAGGGTTAGCTAAGGTACCGCCAGGAAACTCCAGGCTTCACTCCAAATGACCACTTCAGGAACTTCTTTTGCTCGAATCAGTCTTGCTGAGAAATAGTGCAATCTACTATAGGAAAGAAGTTCTCCTAGAATCTCCTAGACTTCCAGGAACCAGACGCCCTTTGTGCTTGGTTCTGAACTGTTAATGGGAGTTCACAGTTCCAGTTCAGATCATGATCATGCTGCAGAAAACCCCTTGAGGCATAAAAAGTGCCTGCTACATCAGCAATACAGAATGATGGCACTGTCCCCAGGCAAGATGCAGCAACATGAGCTGTGCCTCTGTCCCCTCACTGTGCAAAGTGACTGTCCAGGTCAAGTGAAATGCACTGCCCACTGGAGGGGAAGCCATCAAGGCTGTTTGAGTGGGCAGGATGTGAGCTCAGGGCAATGCTAGAGTTATAACTCAGCTCTTTAGTGAAAATAAACTCTCAACTTATTAAAAGCATTTGGCCTCCTAGAAGCATTCAACCTAATGAAGGTGACCCTTAGCACTCAGGACAGAGGCTTGGAACTAGATGGTTTTTAAGGTTCCTTCCAACCCAAACACCTCTGGGATTCTGTGGAAACCTCATAACAGTTTAGATAAAGCTACGGATGGCTTTCCATGCCAGCTCCCTGTTTAAGCGATCTATGGACTACAATACGCCATGAAACCAGAGCACTTCATAGACTTCCTTAAGGACAGGGACAAACTGTGACTGTCCTTTCTGAGCAGCATATCTGTTCCTTTAAGGCATCACCACTCCCGAAATAAAAACAAACCTACTTTTCAAGGGAGTGACTCCTCTCCTTTTCTAGGAACACAATAAATGTTTTGGCAGAATCGTGCTTTGACAACTTTGGATTTACAAGCATCAGAAGGAAATTCTGATTATTTATTTTAGATAAATAATGAACAGCATAAAAACTGCTGACTTTGACCTTCATTGGAGAAGTTGGTTTAATGAGTACCATAAACTCTTCTATTGATGGCAGGTTCATAAAGTCCATATTGACTTCCGCTAAAGGCTATAACTTCTATCAATACTGTCAACAATTAATATTGGCTCATAAAGGCATCCTGTAAACTGAGTCATAGCATTATGTTACTTTACATTGCCATTAGCAAAATTTCAATTCTTCTTGAAAATGTTTCTTCTATAAATCTGGGATTTCTCAAAATAGCATGTGTGATAGCTAGCAGCCCAGAGAAACACTACTTATGTGCAGTGAGGAGGGAGGAAACGCCTTTATGTTCAGCAGAAAAAGCTTCTGAGAGGATCTCAGGCCTTATTTGCTGCTACAGTAGGTCTCAGGCTGTGAGGAGTTTGTGCACAAAGATTTCTCATGCCTTTATCTGTGCCAAGCAATTACAAAGGAAAATGCTCAAATTCTGCCTACTTAAAAGACTTTTCCCTAACCTTCTTTTCTTTCTACCTTGCAACATTTGTTTGCATATGTTTGTATTACCAATTCAACCACAGTCCCTATATTAAAGTGAACTTTTTCTCAGTTCTGGACCAGTTTTTCTGACCTGAACATGGTCTGATGTCTATGACATCTTCCCAGGAAAGTCTAAGCATCAGATGAAGCTCATCACCAGCACAGTTTGGATCTTAATGTTTTCCTTTAATCTCCACCACCTCTTTTTTGTCAGTATGAACAATACTATTACATGCTGGACACCACAGAAATCTATGTTTTATTTGTGCTACACAGACTTTTGATTTCAGTATGATACAGCCTTTGTCATTCAAAACACCCAACATCTAAGACTGCAAATGCCTAGGCTCCAAGGAAACTCTTACTTTTGTACAGCATTGTGTGTTCTCCACCTCTCAGTTCTCTTTTTCTAGCTGCTATGAAGTGATGGTTCAACAAATGGTTAGCATGCCATTAAAGTTAAGGAAAGAGGAATTGAAGGCTGTCTCCAACCTGACATGAGTCCTTCTCCCTCTGTGATTACTTTCAGTAAAGCCTTTCAAGGCACGTGAAGTTGCTACTGGGCTGTTTCTAGTATAATTTCATTTGAAAGTGATCTGTAGGTACAAAGTTGCATTTGCAGGTGTAGAGAGCAGGGAAAAAGACTCCAACAGATAATGCAATTCTTCTCTGTTAAGACCAAAGGGGGGGGCTGGGGGGGGGGGGGGGTCAGTCCTGCTCCCAAGGAACAGGACAAGAAGGAACAGCCTCTGTGGAGGGGTCGAGGATGGAAAAGGGCAGGGCTTTCAGGAGATGGACCCTCGGGCAGCCATCCCCCCCCAAAGGGGGGGGGGGGGGGGGGGGGGGAACCAACCTAGAATTCTGTATACTGCTTTTCTTAGTAGGCATGGAAAGAAAAAACGTATGGGATAGGATTGCAGCTGCTCATACATCACATGGAAAGCACAAAAAAAAAGCTTGGATAGAGGAGAATAGGATGGCAGTGCAAGGCGCTTGCTTTTGGCTGTTTTCTAGCAATTTCTTGTGAATGTGCAAAACTGTAATTGACCGTGATCGTCCCTCTGATTTTTCATCAAAACACAAGGATCAGAAGGAAAACAATGCAACCTGCCACTATGTGTCTGCTTGTAAGACACTACACTATGAATCTTTTAAAAAGTATGATAAAGATAATTAAAAAAGATTCTTCTGTACATCCTTTGAACAGAAGACCATTTATCTTTGAACTCTGCCTAATATATCATTATCTCTGAGTAGAAACTTAATAAGCTTCAACTGTAATTTTGTTGGAGTTAAACATAAAATCATGTGGGTGGTGTATGTCTCACTGTCATGGCTTCCAGAGGAAAACTTATCATCATTTGTCACTACAGTACCGTGGCAGAAAGCATGAAAAGAACAAGTGATACAGTCATTTCACATGAGCTTTCTGCGCCGAGCACAAGTACCCAATGACTTGCACGCAGCAGCTATATCAAGAAGCAGGCTGTGCTATAATTGAATTAAAGGTGCAAAGGCATATAGGACTGGATGAACTCCTGGGTCAAGTTGCAATTGAATCAAAGTCCCCTCTCCTTCTCCTACACTGCTTGGCAGAACTGCTGACCAAAAGGTTCCCAGACCTACAAAAGGCACGCAGGAATCCCTGCAGCTGGGGACACAAAGTTACAGAGATAAAAAAATCTGTGACCTTCAGCTTTTATTTCACACAAAGAAAAAGGCTTCTAAAAATATTTCACCATCGTTTTCCTTCAGAGAGCAGTCAGCCAATTTACATAAATGAAGCGGCCCCTGTCAAGGAACCAGCAAGGAAGAGAAGAAAATTATCTGCCCAGAAAATCTGAGCAAAGATAAGAGTAGCATTGGCCAGAGGAGGGGAGATTTAAATGCCTTCCCTCTTAAAGGTTGCTGCAAAAAGCAGGGAGAGTATTACAGCTATTTAATGATCTCTGTCGCAGTGATAAATAAGTAGGAGCTTCTCCAGCAGTTCATTAACAAAGACTCTGTAGGACAGTAAAAAGGCCACGACTGGGGCTGTTAGAAGAGTGTTTTCATGGAGTCTGATAAAAAACCTCATCACTAAACCTAAGGAAGATTAAGGTGGAGTAGTAGGAAGAGACATTCCTTATAGAGCTCGGGGCTGGCACTTGCATGCACTGTCACCACTTACCTGTTTCAGTATTCTCATGCTCTGTGTCGGTGAGGGTGAGGTTGGAGTTGGCCCGGCTTGACAAGCAGGAGCTGCGCCCGGACTTGGTGTTGCGTCCCCAGATCCTCACTGGGTGCTCGGGTGACATGACCACATCTGCCTCCGTGTCCGCATCTGAGCCGGCGCTGAGGGAGTAGCCACAGTGAGGCAGCCCAATGTCGGTCCGGTACAAAGCCCCGTGTGTCGGTGTCACATCTTCAAGTCCCAGCTCTCGTAAAGAGAAGTTGGCTCCTGTGAGAAAAACACATCAGCTGGGTTATTCTTTAATACAGCACAGTGCCATGTAGCACAAGTCAAGAGCTGAAGTGCTCATCTTCTACCTTCATGTGGGACACAGCAGCGTGACAGTAACTCACAGGAACATTATACCAAAGATACCCTTCTTCTATGGTCTTGCTCTGAACGAGACCAAGAGACCACAGAATCATAGAATCATTAAGGTTTTAAGATTATCGAGTCCAACCATTAAGTCCAAGTCCACCACGAGACAATGTCCCTAAGCATCTCATCTAAACTTTTTTTTTTAACAATTCCAGAGACGGGTGATTCCTCTACTTGTGTAGGCAGCCTGTTCCAATACTTGGCCACTCTTCCACTGAAGAAATTTTTCATAATATCCAATCTCAACCTGCTGTAGTGTCACTCGACACCATTTCCTATTGTCCTATTACTTGTTACTTGGGAGAAGACACCAGTCCTCACCTCATGACAACCTCTTTTCAAACATGCCAGGACTAAAAAGTGGCTGGATTCCTGCTTCTGGAACCTGACAAAAATGCAGGGCATGTTCAATGAAATCATCAAGTCTGAAACCAAAAACGGATGTAGAAATGGTGCAATACTTTAGGAGAGGCAAAAAGTAATCTTCTTGTGAGAAAAGCAAAATGAGGCGTGCAATGATCAAAAGTCCTACCATACACCTGACAACTTCCCTACAATAGGCAATTTGAGTGAGTTCTGCTTATTGAAAATTCTGAAATTACATATCGGGGATTTAAATTTCCTTTGGTGATTTCACTTTCCCTGTGCTGACCACTCACACCTTGACTCACATTTAGCTATTCATTCTGATAGAGGTTATTTGGCCACAAATAGATGCAATTGTTTAGCTGACTAAAAATATGACCTGAAAAGTGACCCTCGACTCCATGTCTAGTTACCTGCAGAGCTTCAAAATCAGACTGAATGGATGTGAATAAGGTTTCAAATATTAGCACACTTTGGGAAGTTCCACAAGAAGCTGGGGAGAGCAACTTTAATCCACATTTATTTATTAAGGCATGCATTTATTTTTCAACCCTGAATATCTTGAAAATATTTTGGCCAGTCATGAGTGCCTTTAGCTGCACAGTGCATTTATACAGCTCAGTGAACCCCTGCTTCTGTTATACTATGCTGTGGATGGATTAAAGAACTGAGCAGTTTGCAGCTCAGGCATATTTCAACAAGATAAATCTGAATGCACAATCTCCAGGCACTAACCTTCCTTTGAACACTGAAGTTCATAACTACTCATTATTGAAATCTGTTCATCAAGTCTGGATCTCAAAGTTGTATCCAAAGCTGAATTATCATTTTCTCCTTTCTCAAGACCCATAATTGTGTGGTTTTTCTACATTTCTGTTTGTTGATGTCAAATATCATAGGGTAGAAAATGTGTATCCAACAGAAACAGTCAGTTTTCTACTTTTCCAGAGTATGGTTTCATATTTGTGGAAACACGCTAGCTTGTCCTTGAACCCTGATGATTGGGGAAGGTCTCTCATATTAGAGCACACATGCATCAGATGACACGTGGCCAAAAGTAAATGCTATTTTACTACATTTTTTCATTTCATTTTTTCAGTTGACTTTATAGCTCACAGTGAACAGAGAAAAGATATCTGAATGCAAGGTGAATAGTGAGACTGGACAACATTTTCATGTATAGCTCAGAGAATGAGCTGTTTGATTGCAGGAGAAAATGCAGATTCAGCTGGTTACGGATCTGCAGCTGACAACACTCCAACTGCATAAAGGATTCATGAACTTCACACCTTTTTAATTGACCAAACAAGATTATGCTTTCAGACAGAGTGGACAGAAAAGGTTGCGTGGGGCTCACACCTCTGCCTGACCCTTGCTTGGGAAGCCCAATGCAAGCTTGTGGCAAAGTAATAATTTAACATAATTACAAAGTGGTTTGAGAGATTGTCCTCTACATTCTCATGGCATAAGGAAGCAAAGAAACCCGATCTAAGTTATAAATGCTAGGAAGCTGTATCTCCCCAGAGACCTTGCTCTTCTCTTCTAGTTTCAACTTATGTTTAAGCCATGGTTTTCTAAACCATCCCCTGTGGAGTATTGAAATACATCTTTTGGTTTTCCTTATGTGTTTGAGTCTCTGATGTCATGTTCCACCTTTGCCTGAAAGAAGCCACACTCAGCATCATCAGACACATCAATGTGCAACATGACTGATGTTCTCCAGCAACAGCAGCTCATAAATTATGAAAAATGACTGCTACAATTAACTCAAAATCAAATTTATTTGCAATAAACAGCAGCAGATGCATTGATTTTCATATTCTATGCTCACTGTTGCCTTTTAAGCTGGAAGAACTCAAGTCAATAAAAGGAGGATAATAAATATCCAAGACTTTTTAATTCAGATCTGGTCTATTTTCTCCTGTGCTGACTTGCACATTTGCTGACACTCACTCTAGCTAAAACCATTTAAATGCTGACTTGTTTATTTACTGAATTTATTTGGTCAATTTGAAATGTTTCCCTCCTCTGCCTTCCAAACCAGTGCAGGAGAGAAATTCACTTTGCCTTGTTGATGTCAAGCAGGCTAATAAGGCTTGGTTTCAGTTGGCCTCAAGCCAAGCAGCATCACAAAGAGAGGTCCATTCATGGCTTACTGCCAGTGAAAAATGTGGCACAGAAAGTATGGGATAATTGTTAACACTCCTCAGGCCAGTTCTGGGACCCTCAGGATAAACTGAGAGAAAGCTTTAAGTGTAGCCATTTGTGAGAGTTATATCAGAGACAGAACTGGTGCTCTGACATGGTTAATCTTAACTTTTCAATGAATTTCAGCTACTTTGACCAGTCATTTTTACTATTTCTCAGTACCTTCAAAATTTTCCTAGGGAAGCATGAGCCTGTGTATAGAAAAATTACACTCCCTGCCAACAGACTGGATTTTCAGGAAAAGTAATCTTTTGTGGACTTCTTAGGAGAAGTCCATAGATCTGCATGGCCTCATGAACCTCCAAGTTGAAAACCGCTGACCTGGACTAATTCACGTCTATACTGCATGGTGAATATATTGTATCAAATAAGCAAATGCAATGACCTAAAAAGTTTCCTTTTCTTTATAATGTCATACATTCCTTAGAGGGGATGAAGTACTTCAGAGTTGCTAAGAGGGAAACTGCTTTCATGATGTCACAATGTTACTTAGATCAACTATTGGCCCTTTTGTTGATTATTGCCTATTGCAGCTATTCTGAAACTCAAACACCAAAGCCATATGCATGAAGATAGTTCAGCAAATCATTTTGCTTGTGGGTGCCTTGAAGAGGAGTCTTGCACCAAACCACAAGTGCATGATTTTTAAGGAAAAATCAAGCAGCCCCCAAGTTTAATGAGTGTAATTATATGTACTCCTTTTGGGGAATCAGCTTCTCCAAATTGCAGAGGATGTGCTCAGAGTACTCTGATTAGGCTAGTTTATGTCCATTTTCTGGAATGCTGCCTACTCTATTTGACTCACTTTACCATTTTATGCTTTTCTTGATGGACTTCTACAAACAATTTATGTGAAGTCCTGGCTGGAATCTGAACTACATCTCTACAGAAAAATGAAGATGAGTCTTATAGTAGGGGACAGAAATCTTTCTCATACAGGCAATAACAGCAGTGAAAATGGTAACTGTACTGACTTCAGGGTATCTGAAATCTCTGTTAGAACTGTGGAGTCTGTGGTGACTCTTGAAACTCCATATCTTCACCTTCAGATACCAGGACTCAGATCCACTAAATGTGCTCCTCTAAGTCCTAAAGACGTTCCTTACTCTTTAACATTGCAGTATGTCCCCAAGGCAAACCTAAAGCCTGCAGACTGTGTACAATGCCAAGAGGGGTCATTCCACCTGGAACCCATTTGTCTCCTTTCTTCCAGGGTTCTTGGGTTTTGCTGTAGACCAGATGGACAGTGTGGACAGTGACACTCTCCACTTGTTGCCTCCTGCCTCAGCATCCTTGTTGACTTCCTTCATGACCAAGCAGACATGTGACACAGTGAAAGTTCTCCTGAGCAGGCAGGAACATTCCATGCCACGTCAGTACTGTGCAGCATGCGCCCACGGGGTTCCAGTCTCATGGTGGGAAGTGGCAAAGTGCTGCTGCAGACAGAAAGACTAAGTCATCGAGAATGTGTCTTAGTAAGTGCTCATGCACGTGGGATATGAGTATGCCACTTAAGGACACTGGGCTGCACACAGTGCAATACAGGGAAGGTGATCTCTGCCACTCTCTTTAAGTCTCTCTCTTACATCACGCTTTTGGCCTCAGAGTCTTTCAAAGGCAGCTTCCCACTCAACTCTGGCTCTCAGCTGATTCCCCCATGCTGCTTACAGCTGCATCAGCTGAAAAGCACCCACCTGCTCGGCAGAATTCATCAGCCTCCTGGTGCACCATGTCTTTGACCCGATTGCTGTAAGTCAGCCTGGAGTCCTGATCATAAGCCTTCAGGGTCTCGCTGGAGCTGTAGGACTTCTGGGGTGCCTTGCTGTCCTCACTCTCGGCTGAAGAGCTGGTGTAGCGGCGCTCAGTGTCACGGCGCCGAGTCAGAGATCGATACGGCTTCCTTTCCTTTACATCCATGGCACCCTTGTCTGAGTATTCAACATTAAAATAATGACGTCTGTGTGGCGGTCAGATTAGAATAACCTGAAAGAGAGAATTCAAAAATGTCATGCCTTTGGGCACTCAATGGCTAGAGTTTGCCTTCTTTATACATTCTTACACTGAAAAAAAGGGATGTTACTTAATGGATTCCAGAAAAACCCTCTTAGAACAATTACCAATAAAAAGAAAGTCTCAATTATGTGTGACTCATTTAATAATTGCCACTGCTAACAGGATACATATATGCACCAACCTGCATCTGTCTGAACTAGACATCCACTTGGGAATTTGAAACTGATTGTGATATTGTGTGTCTTCTTTCTGTAGGAAGTGATTCAGACACCTCAAGGAGGCATGTATTCATCAGTCATCTAATCTCTGGGAAACCAGGTAATGCTGAAATGTCTCTATTTGGGCAACTGGAGGGCTTTGGAAAAATGCTGTCCTGTGGTTTCAAAAACGTTTCCACAGATCATGAGGTTAGAATGTATGAACAAAAGTCTGAGATGGTATAAGAAGGCAATTGGGAAAGGAGAGGGAGAAAGGAAGGACTGAAGGAGTGAAATGTGGATGGAAATTGCATAAAAATGTCTTCCTTTTCAGAGGGCTCATCTTTACTCAGCTGGAAATATATTAAAACTTAAGCAGAGCTGAGAAAGTGTAAATAAATGACAGTGTTCTGCTTCATGTAACAACATGGCCTGGGATTTATTTCTGTGGAAAAATCAATGTATATATAAACACAGCAATACAAGTGTACATATCTGCACACAGAGAAAACAGATATCAGAAATAAAATTTATTAAAAATATTTTTGTCAAAATAACTAATAAATGGTATTTTTACTTCAAGTTTATTAAATGCAACAGAAAACAGAAAAAATAAAGGCAATGCCTTGCATCAAGATGGAAAAATATATTTTTTAGTATCTAAACTTGTTTATGAGGAAAAATAAGGATAAAATACACAAACCAAACATGGAAAATCTGTAATTATGCGCTGAGCTTCTCTGAAACTGAATCCTCCTGACTGCTAAAGAACAGAAGTTTATTCTCTAAATGCCACCCCAGGATATTGTTGTTTACCATCAGCATTTAAAAACAGAAAGCAAAAGGTTCAGAAAGAACCTATCAGCTCCTGGTATTTTTCACACTAAATACATATGGAAATATATGGCAAGAACTGAATCACATTCTGTTGGCATTTCTTTCTTGAAAAGCTAAACCCTGGATGTACTAATCAAATCTTTCTCATCCTGACTCAGATCCTAGACTTGCTTCAGGTGCTGTGTCCTGGATTTCAGAGAATCATAGAATCCTAGAATGGTTTGGATTGAAAGGAACCTTGAATATCCTCTAATTCCAACTCCCTGCCATGGACAGGGACAGCTTCCAATAGACCAGGTTGCTCAAAGCCTCATCCAGCCCGGCCTCAAACACTGCCAGGGATGGGGCACCCACAGCTTCTCAGGGCAAGCTGTGCCAGTGCTTCACCACCCTCAGAGGGAAGAATTTCTTCCTAATACCAAATCTACATCTGCCCTCTCACAGCTATGGTGCACTAGTTGAGGATGAATGCGCTGTGAGCTTTGTAGATCAGCTTAAAGGGATGTGGTGTAACGTAGCATTTGTGAGTTTTGAAACTGAGGAGTTTTAAACAAAGGATGTGTGAAGGATGGGAGACTCCTAGCACAGGTTAAGATAACTTACAAATCATAAGAGTAATACTGAAGCCTGAAGACAACATTTTATTATTAATCTCTGCTTGAAAAGCTGTCTGGCACAAGCAAAACTACAAAAATATTGGAGTCAAAGACAGACTGAAGGAGGAAGCAAGAATGACAGGAAGGCCATGAGGCAGACTGGTAGCTGGGCAAAGAAGTTGCACTCTTGGGTCTCTCCTATTTCTGGAATTCTGATTGTGTTAAAACTGCTAAACGGTTTTAGTCCAAAAAACACCTCCAAAACCAACTTTGCAATGACACACCCCAATTCCAACACCTTGTATGGCTTCTGTAGCATTCTTCCTGGGAATTAAGGCACTACTATAAGAACAAAAAAAAAAAAAAATCAATTTTCTCCAGTATTCCAGAGATGGTGGCAGACCAAGCTCATACATTCTGTTTGTCAGAAAAATGCATAGAAACTATTGAACACTTAGGAAGGGAGAGGGGGGAGGAGGAGTGTCTTTAACAAGCTTTATCTAAGTCATCCACAGAGACTTGAGCACCACTTTGACTTCAAATATGTTTTTAAACCCACCAAACTCATTGACTTAAATTCATTCACGTAAATGCACTACAGTGAAGGCAAATGGGATTCCTCACAGGCCAAACCTGACATGTTAAATGTATTGCACAGTAAGGGTACAAAACTAAGGCCTGAATGTAGAAGCAATAGTGAAGGAGATTGCATTGTGCTATAGAACAATAGCAGCATGTATGAGATCTACCAAATAAGAGATTTTTTTTTTCCTTTAATCAAACATATTGGTGCTTTCACACTGGAAAGAAATAAAAGAAATAGAGCATCTGATTGCCTTTCAGTGCACTGTCATCTCCCCTTTCTTTCTAAAAAAAAAGATTTTTTTGGCTTGAAAAATTGTGACTTTTTTTACACTTGTTATTGAATCCGTTTGTCCCCTTTATAGCATCTCTGTTTGAAAATCTTAGAAGGAGCAGGTTTGTTTTACTTTTGAATATAACACCCTAAAACAGGCTCCTTCACAAAGCCCATATTGTGAGCCGCTATAATGAACACTGAAATTGTGGTTTATTGTTATGGACGATGAAGATAGCAGAATGTGAGTGAGAAGTGGTTACTCTCTAAGAAAGAAATGAGGAAAGGCGGTTTCTGTCTGCTCCCGAGTATTGTAGCAATTCCTACCTAGGGCTGGTCATTTCAAAATCCTCTAGCAGGATAGTAACATGTGCCAAGGAAATCTTTTTGCACTGCTAGAGCCACAAGGTACAAACAGGGTCTGTAATTACCATTAGTAACCTTGCAACTTAGGAAATGACAAAAAAACATGAGGAAATTGACTGAATTCCCACCAGATGAAGGGTTTTCTTTTTGTAAGGAAAGGTGCTGAAAAACTGAAAATTCTCCTACAGTTCATCAAAAATAGCCCTGTAAATTTGCACCATCCATATGCACATTCCTCTGCAACAGTGTTTCTATTCCCAACTCATTCATGTCTTTATAAATTTAACTCCTCTCAACTTTTTATTTCTCTCTCCCTCACAACTTGGGTTGACTTTCCAAATAGAAAGGTTACCTCCATAAAACATAATGAAGGATTTTTTAAAGCTATTTTTAAAGACTGAACTGTTGCATTTACCTGACTTAAGTAAGTTTCCAGCACTTCTCCATGGACATGCAGTTCTTGTCATCTCAGTTTTATGGCCTAATTCCCAGATGGTTTAGATACCTTACTTTCAACGGAGTTCTGTTGTCAGAGAGTTTGCCTCATGGCTTTTCTGTGGTAGATTATTCTTTTTTTCTGCTACTCCTTGTGTCTAGATTTTACTTCTGCTACACGTAGAAGTGCCATCAACACCTCACATTTTTCCTGACTTCTCTGGCACATGACAAACACAAAGAATCACACTCGTCTCAATTACATACTCAACCACCAGTTTCTTTCCGTCTTTAGCTCATGATTGCTCCTCATAATTTTAAAAGCTTCCATGAACTTGCTGGACTGGATGTAAAAAATCAGGCTTTCTAATATGGACCTTTCAATTTCTGTGTTCATTTTCCCTCTATAAAAACACAAAACTCTTCTGCTCTGAATCATTTATATTTGGAAAGGACTTTCTTGTCCTATAATGCAGTGTTTCTAGTTCTGTTTGTTTCTTTCATCATACTGCATATCTGCATAACATATAAAATTTCACCTTTTTTTCCTTTTTAAAAATTCTACTTTAAGGCCAATTAGTTGCAGTAGCCATTCGTATTTTTGGCAGCCTTCTGTGTATGGAGATCCAATCCCAGCCGAATCACAAACTGATCTGGAGTACAGCTCACAACAGAAGCATCCTTCTGTCTTTACTTACTCTACTCAGAAAAATCCCACTGACCCCAGAAAGGGTTACTTAGAAGTAAAAGCCTGTAAAATCAGATTCCTTGATATAGTTATATTTTTCAGGAGTGTGGGATCCTTCTCACATCCCTGCACACATGTCAGGGAGTGGAGTAAAAAAATCAGCATTCTGGTTCTGGTGCAGTAGTGCAGCAAACATAATGCTTATTTGCAGCACTTTTTATTTTGCTTTTGCTTTGGATGGCTCCCAAACAATCCTTTTTATGAAGTTTCATCCTTTATATCTCTCCTCCTCATTCTCAGTTCTGTTGGTTTTTGTTGCTCTTTGGAGCTTTGATTAACCACACCGGCTTTGTGCTGCAGAATCGCACTCAATGAATGGCAAGGGGTATGATTTATTTTCTGAGTCACTGCTCAAAAGAGAAACTTGCATCAATCAAAAACCAGACAAGGGAGTGTGACACCACAGAGTGATATGCTGGGTGGTGCTTACAGCAAAAAGGACAGGTGGTCTTTGATAGCTGACTTACATTGCAGGTCACTAATCACAGAGATTAGCAGCAAGGTGATAGGCAGTGCCTGTTCTGGGAGGCAGCATGTCATATCATCCAATTTTCTGTCAAAATGTGAGGGTTTAAACAGTACCGATAGCTTTATGTACTTCCCATATAGTTATGGCAACAGGATGATGAGAAAGCTGGAAGAGTGAAATATCTTGTCTGCAAGAAAACGTGTGCATGAGCTCTGGTGGGTTGATTCCACCTCCACCTTTGTGCTGAAGGAAGCAAAAGGACTACTTTTCACTTCTCATTTGTTTTCCTCCGCAAAACTGCCTATGCAAAAATGATATTATTTTACTTGTCAAGGTATGTTTTTTGTCTTCTTGAACTCAATCTCATTTCACTGCTTAGGGCAATATTTTTCCCTATTTCTTATTGCTGCTGCCCCTTGTAGAATGAGCACAGCCATAGGATGCCGAGCAGTAAGCTTAATTTTAT